ATAATTCAAGTTATTGCTTAAACTAATAATACATATTTCATAAAATAGGTGCACACAAAATCATGTAATCAAATTGAAAGGCTAAATGGATTACATGGACAGATTTGATGAAAAACTGATTGAAGTAAAACACTTCCTTGATTAAATCATGCTTTCCAAGGAATTTCATTGAGGATGCATTGCAATAATATTGTGATGCTTCATAAACTCACAACAACATTAATGCTGACAATATGTTTACATTAAACATGCCTCACATTTTACGCCTACCAAAGTGGAACGTACAATTCGTTTCATGTGTCAAGTTACATTTGATTGAAATCTCAAGCAGATTATCATTCGTATTTGCTTTCTCGTACTGAGTAATACCCTGTTGTTTAATTCATTGATAAAATACTTTCTTCTCAATACACTGCTTATCGGACAAATGGTGGAATAAGAAATATACAGTTTATCAATCATATTACAGCTATACAAACAACTGCATTAGATCATATAAATATGTGGATTCTTAAATTATCAGAGTACACGGAGAGAGAGAGAAAAAGAGACAATAAATGCAGGGTTAGCAGGATGCAAAAGTAATGTCAGAAAGAATCAACATGTGTGGATTTGCCGAGAGGATGTACAGATGAATGAGTGATTGTTTCAATCGGTAATTTCTTCTGGATCATATTCTGTCCAACTCCATTTCTTGGATTGTAATTGTCAATGTTTTTACAAACATATAGTCAAAGAAATAATTTAGAATGTATTTTGTGATGATTGAATTTCTTGTCCTTGATTTTCAGCACAATCTGCTTCTATTCTTCGAGTAAGTATACACATTATCAATTGGACTGCAGCTGTGGACAGAGATAATGAAATCACTTTACAGAATGATTACAGGTCAGCACACTCAATGCATGCAATTAGAGAACTATTGTGCAAGTATTTCTTCTAATCACTTCACATCCATCAGCCATTTATATAACTCAGGCAGTTGCTTTCACACGTGTCATGTTCTCTATATGGAGCTGAAGAAACAGAATAATTACCGAGTCTTATAGGTCTGTCAACCTATTCATTTTCATTGTATTGCAATTGTTGCAAGTTTGCAGTGAAGTTCATCTCATTCGTACTGTATTTATTAGGTTTTATTTGCTCATAACTCTCTTCAGTTTTCTGACTTTTTTAATAACCTGTGAAAATATTAGCTTTCGACATTCAATAGGTTTTTAGGATTGAATCAACGATATCGTTTACAAAACACGATTATACAAGATTTTCAACTGAGATGCTTTTACAAAATGAATCCAATAATGCATTCACCAAAAATCAGTGGTACTTCAACTCTGTAACTTGATGTGAAATTACATTATATATTTTGGTAACTCATATATTCAGATAATTTTAAACCTTACCTTCCGATAATTATCAACAAATGAGGAAGTGAATCCATACAATCACGATGGTTAAACATTATAGAGAGTTATATTTAAAAACTAGAAATCTTACTTAACTCAGAGACAATTACAAACAATCGACTGACTAATCAATGCAGTACAACAGATTTAGTAGAATCTTTAACAAATTTTGTCAGTTTTATTTAGGTTTATAAAAATTATTGCAAATGATGAATAGCTCTATATCGTTTGATAATTACACCTTATACATAGTCTATTTTAAGACTAATATTAAAAAATAATCAATTCAAACCACAAATAAAAAAATTCTTTTACTATTTAGCCTAATCAATAATTAATTTAACTGACTGACTATATTATACGTCTGGAATTATCTTATTCCCATTCATTTAGAAAATTAGTTCTTTTGATTCAAAAAAAATCAAGTCATATTATATAAACATTAGTGCTTAGTTATCATTTGTTTCACATCATCTATCTCAATTAATATTGGCATTAATTGTTGTCTGTTTATTGATTTTTTTTTTTTAGTATGCATTTTTTTTGTGTAAGTAGGCGGATTATAGTTAGTTTATAGACTTATTCAACTGGATATATAATTGTTTTTCGGTATTATGACTATTCTGTGATAATGAGAAAAGACAAAGAATTAACTCTGTTATTAATAGCTATATATACAATGAAGTATAGTTGCCAGAATATAGAATTTGACCAATTGTATCAATTTTCCATAGATAAATTTTTCAACAAATTGATATATATATATATATATATATATATATATATATATATATATTGTAACATTTACATTTCATGTTAGTATATAAAATATGCTCTACAAGAAAATAAAAATATCGATGAAGCAAATAAATATTTATTTGCTTAATTTAATCTCATTTTCTAAGTTATACGAGTTAGTATAAATAGTGAGTGCTAAATCGATTCAATAATGTTTACCTTATCAATTTGCTTGGAATAAGTTAATCAATCACCTAAATAAGGCAAAATATAAATGATTTCAAATAGTCATGTAAGTAATAAGAAATAGGAGTTGAAAAAACTTATATAAATAGGTGAATCAAATTTATATAACAAGTGTTATTTGTAAACTTCATGATAATTAATTAACAAAATGGGCATCAAAAAATTTAGACAATCAAGCATCTCATTAAGGCAGATCATGTATGAATAGAAATACAGATAAACATTAAACTAAATCAAAAGTATAGAGAAATTTTTTCAACACCGTAAATGTAATTAACTAGAAGCTAAATTAAATTATGCCGTTGTACAAGTGTTTTCTGTAGACAAAGATCAAGGTTGTTTATGGATGTGCCGAAGGCATCTCTGTTGTGTTATGAAAGGAATTCTGGAAAAAATATGACTTTTCAAACGACTTATTTATATGTGATTATTGATATCCAATAAACATTTC